TCCATTTCTTTGTGTCTTCTTCAATGTCTTTCAACAATGTTTTATAGTGTTCAGCGTACTGGTCTTTCACACTTTGGTTAAGTTTATTCCTAGATATTTTATTCATTTTGCTGCAATTGTAGATGGGATTGTATTCTTAATTTCACTTTCTGCTACTTCATTATTACTGTATAGAAATGCAACTGATTTTAGTATGTTGATTTTGTATCCTGCAAATTTATTGTATTCATTTATTATTTCTAAAAGTTTTTTGGTGGATTCTTTAGAGTTTTCTATATATAAAATCTTGTTATCTGCAAATAGTGACAGTTTCACTCCTTCCTTTCCAATTTGGGTCCGATTTGTTTCTTTTTCTTGCCTGATTGCTCTGGTTAGGACTTCCAATACTATGTCAAACAGAGTGGTGAAGGTTGGCAACCTTATCTGCTTCTTGTTCTTAGAAGGATATCTTTCAGTTTTTTTCCATTGAGAATGATGTTAGCGGTGGGTCTGTCATATGTGGCCTTTATTATGTTGAGATACTTACCTTCGATATCAATTTTATTCAAAGTTTCTTATCATAAATGGATGCTGGATCTTGTCAAATGCTTTCTCTGCATCTATTGAGAAGATTGTGTTATTTTTATTATTCATTTTCTTGATATGGTGCATCACTTTGATTGATTTGCAGATGTTGGACCATCTCTGCATCCTGGGAAGAAATTCTGCTAGATCATGGTGTATGATCTTTTTAATGTATTGCTATATTTGATTTGCTAGTATTTTGTTTAGGATTTTTACATCAATGTTTGTCAGTGATATTGGGATGCAATTTTCTTTTTTTGTGTTGTCCTTGTCTGGTTTTGGTATTGGGGTAATGCTGGCTCTACGGAATGAGTTAGGAAGCTCCCCTTCCTCTTCAACTTTTGCAAAGAGTTTTAGAAGGATGGATATTGTCTTCTTTGAATGTTTAATAGAATTCACCAGGGAAGCCATCTGGTCCTGGACTTTTATTTTCTGGGAGGTTTTTGATTACTGTTTCAATCTCCTTACTGGTGATTGGTCTATTCAAATTCTCTACTACTTCTTGATTCAGAATTGGAAGGTTGTATGATTCTAAGAATTTATCCATTTCTTCTAGATTATCCAGTTTCTTGGCATATAGCTTTTCATAGCATTCTCTTATAATCTTTTGTATTTCTGAGGTGTCCATTGTAATTTTTCCTCTTTCATTTCTGATTTTATTTGAGGCTTCTCTCTTTTTTTCTTGGTGAGTCTAGCTAAACATTTATCAATTTTGTTTATCTTATCAAAGAACCAGCTCTTGGTCTCATTGATTTTTTTCTACTGTTTCTTTAGTCTCTATATCATTTATTTCAGCACTAATTTTTATTATTTCCTTCCTTCTACCGATTTTGGGTTTTGTTTGTTCTTCTTTTTCCTGTTCCTTTAAGTGTTCTGTTAGATTGTTGATTTGCGATTTTTCTTCTCTGTAGAGGTAGGCCTGAATTGCTATAAACTTCCCTCTTGCTTTTGCTGTATCCCATAGATTTTGGCATGTTGTATTTTCATTTTCATTTGTTTCCAGGTATTTTTTTATTTCTCCTTTGATTTCTTCATTGAGCCAAGAGTTGTTCAGTAGAATTTGTTTAATCTACACATTGTTTATCTTTTCTGATTTTCTTCCTGTAGTTGATCCCTGTTTCATACCACTGTGGTCAGAAAAGTTGCTTGGTATTATTTGGAACTTCTTAAATTTATTGAGACTTGTTTTGTGGCCTAATATATCTATCCCAGAGAATGTTCCATGTGAATCTAAAAAAAACGTATTTTGTGGTTTTTGGATGCAAAGTTCTATATATATTTACTAAGTCCACCTGGTCTAATGTGTCATTTAAGGACAATATTTCCTTACTGATATTCTGTTTGGATGATCTATCCATTGGTGTAAGTGGTGTGTTAAAGTTCCTTACTATTGTTCTGCTGCTGTCTCTCTCTCCTTTATGTCTGTTAATAATTGCTTTATATATTTCGGTGCTCCTATGTTGGTTGGATAGATGTTTACAAGTGTTATATCCTCTTGTTGGATTGTTACCTTTATCATTAAGTAGTGCCCTTCTTTGTCTCTTATTAGACTTTTTGTTTTAAAGTCTATTTTGTCTGATATAAGTATTGCTACCCCAGCTTTCTTTTCAGCACCACTTGCATGGAATATCTTTTTCCAGTCCTTCACTTTCAGTTTGTGAGTGTCTTTAGGTCTCACTTGTGTCTCTTTTATGTATCATATATATGGGTTTTTGATTTTTTTTGTCCAATTGGCCACCCTATGCCTTTTGATTGAGCATTTAGTCCATTGGCATTTGAAGTAGCTATTGATAAAAATGTACTTATTGCCATTTTGTTACTCTTTTCCTAGGTGTTTTAGTAGTTATTCTCTACTCCTTTCTTCTTCTCTTGCTCTCTTCCCTTGTGGTTTGATGGCTTTCTTTAGCATTATGTTTGGGGTCCTTTCTCTTAATTTTTTGTGTATTTATTAGAGGTTTCTGGTTTGTGATTGTCATGAGGTTCATATATAATAACCTATGTATATAGCTATCTGTATTAAGTTTTGGTCTCTTAAGTTTGACCTCTTGCTAAAAGCTCTACTCTTTTACTCCCCTCCTCCCACATTTTATGTTTTTGATATCATATCTAACCTATTCTTTGTGTTTGTGTATCCGTTACCCTCTTATCATGGAAATAGGTAATTTTAGTAATTTTGTCTTTTGATCTTGATATTAGCTTCATAGGTGGTTGTTCTGCTACTTTTACTGTACTTTTGATTTTACCTGTGATTTTACTGTTTGTTTGTTTTCTGATAATTTTATTATTTCTATTTGTGGTCTTCTCTTTTCTACTTAAATAAGTCCCTATAGCATTTCTTGTAAGGCTGGTTTCTTGGTGGTAAACTCCTTTGGTTTTTGCTTGTCTAGGAAACTTTGTCTCTCTTTGCATTCTGAATGATAACCTTACTGAGTAGACTATTCTTGGCTGTAGGCTTTTTCCTTTTAGCACTTTAAATATATCCTGCCACTCCTTTCTAGCCTGTAAGGTTTCTGCTGAGAAGTCAGCAAATAGCCTTACGGGGATTCCTTTGTACATAACTTCTTTCCTTTCTCTTGTGGCTTTTTTGGATTCCCTCTTTATCTTGAATTCCTGACATTTTAATTATAATATGTCTTGGTGTGGGCCTGTTTGAGTTTATCTTATTTGTACTCTATGTGCTTCTTGTACCTGTATGTCCATTTCCTTCCTTCGTTTAGGAAAGTTTTCAGCTATTATTTCTTCAAATAGATTCTCAGCCCCTTTGACTCTCTCTTCTTCTTCTGGGACAAATATAATGCAAACATTAGTGTGCTTGATGCTGTCCCAGAAGCCCCTTAGACTGTCTTTGTTCTTTTCAATTCTTTTTTCTTTTATCTGCTCAGCTTGGGTGATTTCCTCTAGTCTTTCACCCAGCTTGCTGATTCATTCTTCTTTATCATCAGCTCTGCTATTGAGTCTAGTGAATTTGTCATTTCCAGTATTGTATTCTTCAGCGGTTTTTTTGAGGAAGATTAGCCCTGAGCTAACAGCTGCCACAACCCTCCTCTTTTTTTGATGAGGAAGACTGGCCCTGAGCTAACACCATGCCCATCTTCCTCTATTTTATATGTGGGATGACCGCCACAGCATGACTTGACAAGCAGTGCATAGGTCTGCATCAGGGATCCAAATTAGTGAATCCCGGGCTGCCAAAGTAGAATGTGCAAACTTAACTGCTGCACCATGAGGCTGGCCCCTGTATTCTTCATATTTGATTCGTTGTTTTTCATATTTTCCAGGTCTTTTTAAAGTTCTCACTGAATTATCCAATCTCCTTCCAAGATCAGTGAGCATCCTTATGACTATTAGTTTGTACTTTTTGTCAGGTAGGTTGTTTATCTCTGTTCCATTTAGTTCTTTTTCTGAAGTTTTGTCCTGTTCCCTTACTTGGAACATATTCTTTTGTCTCCTCATTTCACCTTTCTCTGTGCTTATATCTATGTATTAGATAGGTGAGCTATATCTCCCAATCTTGGAGAGGTGGCCTTATGTAAGAGATGCCTTATGAGGCCCAGCAGTATGCTTCCCTCTCATCACCAGTTCCAAATGTTCCAGGAGTGTCCCTTGTGTGGATTATGTGTGTCCTTCTGTTGTGGCAGGATTGTTCTTGCTGCAGGTGCCTGGTGAGGTTAGGCTGTCCTCTGGCTGGCTGGTTGTTATACTCAGCCATGTGTGGCTACTATGGTCACTTCAGCCAATTTATCAGGCATGGGGAAGCCCAGCACATTTGGCTGCAAGGTCTAATGGCACATACAGTTTTTCTGTTAGGTGAGTAGGCCTCCAGCATGGCTGGTTTCTAGGTTCAGGGGCTTACAATTGCTGTAGGCCTCCAGCCTACAAGGTTGTTATCAGCTCTCTCTGGAGTGCAGCTGAGTGGGCCCAGGCCCAGGCATGAAAGCACTCAATTGTTTCAGGCTTTGGAAGGTGGAGCCAATCCCCTATGTGGCTGTTTGAGAAGCAGAAGTCTGCTGCAGCTGACAAGCCCCACTGCCCACAGGGCCACACACACCATTAACACAGTCCTGCCCCATGCACACACCTCAACCCCCTGAAGCAGATCCTGTCACCCCACTGCAGAGGCCCCATAGACTCCACCAATGCAGGCATGCCCCTCACATACACCCTTCCCTACAGATGGGGACGTACTCTCCAGGCTGCAAAGGTCCAAGGCATCCCACCTATCTGGGCCCACAAGTTGCCCGAGAGATTGATGTTGATTGGGGCCAGGCCCTAGAGCCAGCTGCCTGCCCTGGCTGAACTGGATTCAATCAGTGTTCTAGTGGGTGGTGCAGACCCCTGGGTTAAAAAGCCAGTTGAAGAACTCCAATGATGTCTGCCAGTGACTGTGTCAGCATGCCTGAACTAGGTAACAATAACGTGTGTCACCAATGTTTCAGTACCACAGGAGGTGGTCCAAGCCTGGGGAGGTCTCACTTCTCACCAAGATGTGCCCATAGCCTATCAGGTGAGTCTCTTTTCACCAAAGGATTGTGTTTTCTTTATGGTGATTTTAGGTTGCTTTCTGGAATGGGTGAATTTGTTAATGGGCCCTTTAAAAGCTGGTTTTTATTCCCTTATGTCCAATAACTTTTCTAGGGGTATTCCCTATTCTTTTTAATATCCAGTAAAGCCAGACATTAAGACACTTGTCTTGGTTATGCTGAGTCCAAAAGCTGTTTATTGTGGTAATGCTCCCTTGCGCAGATCCCCCACTCTTCGGGGAAGGCTTTGTACCTTAAGATTGCTGCTGGCTGGCCATGAAGTTCCATGGTTAGAAGGTGGCTTTTTTTCTCTCCAGAAAGGAATCTCTGCCTTTTCCACTGCAGTCAGACTGTGCCTTGTTGTGTGGGTCCTTTTTATCCACTGTTCAGTTGTCTCTCTGGGGTGATTGTTTCAAGAGTAGTTGTAAATTTGTTGTGTCCCTGAGAGTAGCTGAATTCAGAGTCCACCTACACTGCCATTTTGAGCATAAATTTTAAATATTTCCTTTTATCCATTAATTAATATTTCCATTTACTTTTCCCACAGAATTCTAGCTAACTGTAATGTTTTTAATTGAATTATTTTATTTAATATCTTGTTATGCTGTTCTGCAACAAAAGAACATATTTAAATTAAAACTTTTTTAGTGTTAACATTTTTTTCTCTTTGATTTAAGATTGAAAGCAAGAAAAGGTAAAAAATTCCACATATACTTCGGAGATCAACATTTTATCTGTAACAAAAGGAACATATACTGAAAGTAAGTTTGTCTGTTAAAGCTTTTTCAGATTGATAGGCAGAGCATTTCCATTTCCATTTTCTTAAAACACTATGAATCCGTACTCATTATTTCTTGGGTGAATTCACCTCCTGTTTGTAACTCATTCAGTCATGACTCATTGAGTCATCACTGCCATGTAGTTTCAAATTTACATATAGGATAAGTAATGTACTCAACATTCCACGAATGTACTTTCTTATGGCCTACGCTTCCTGACGGCCCAATCTTGTCTTTAGAATATTCTTTTATTTCTCTTTCTTTTCCAAAAGTCAGATCAATGACCAAATCTATGAGAAGATTTGCTTATCTGCCATCAGAACTTTTTTCTCTTTTGTCTCTTCCTTCTTTTGTGTCTTCTTGCTAATGACGCTTTGTACTAGTTGTCCACTTTGGCCATTGTGGGTATGTAGATAGGAGAATAAAATCACAATGTATTTGGAAATAGAACCTACCAGTAAAACGAGGTGCACACTTCATTAACCTGTCACTTCTCTTGAATTGAGAGCATGTTCAAGAACAAGCTCCCCCCCGCCAGTGCTCTACATGTCTAATTCTCGTAGTTTTGTTAGAGTTGTCATAAAGGTTTTATGGGTTTGCTTGATGTGAGTGGAACAAAGAGCACAGCACAAACAGATTAGACACAGAGCCCTCTGAAGGATTTGCCTGTGAGAATTCTTAGTGCAGATTGTCCAAAGTTCAAAGTTATCTCCTTGCATGATCATTGGATATTGTCAGGCTCAAACATTAAAAGTGAGGCCAAGTCAAAGCCTGAGTGACTCAAGTGGTAAAGATAGAAGGTGTCAATTGTAGATTTTAAAAATTTTCTTATGTGTATAGACAGCAAAGAGAAAAATAAGCAAAAGTTGCCAGCTCCTTATGATCCTTGTCCCAAGCATTAGAAAAGACAACACCAAAGCAACAGGGGCTGAATGACAACATTACGAACTGTGGAATACTCTGTTGCTGTGGAGCCAATTCTGGACTGCAGCTAAATGATTCTTTATTCTGCAGCTCCAGTGTGAGAGAGGCAAGGCTGGAAGTGCAATACTTCAGCAGAGCCTGGGAGTCAAAGAAAACTGTCTATGACGGTCTCCAAAGGGAGATATGGAAGTGAGCTAAAGGAGGCCTCACAGCAGCTCTTTATAAGTTTCTCATCCTCTTGTGCTCTTTCTGAAACATAAGGATCATAAGGCATTCTGCTAAGATTCCAATTAGCAGTAGTTCAAAGATTCCAAGTCTTTGTGGCCTATGTAGATGTGTACAATGTCAACAGGGTGCCATGGTGGCACTTTACCCTTCCAGACAGCAGATGGACTGGAGTTCTATATGTAAGCAACGTGAGAAGTCTGATTCAACAGTATCTCAAGACATTTCAACAGATTTTCTCTCAAATGGTCCTTCTTTAGGCCTACTTGCCTGGCACCTCCAGGCTGTTCCTTCCTTCGAATTCCATCTACCTTACAATATTCCCCAGAGGCCTCCTAGCTTCTCTCTCTTTCTCTCTCCTTCTTATCAATTTTCTCATAAAGTGTCTCATGTTTGTATCACAATAGATTCTGATAGCTCTCTAGAAAAAAAATAATGATCCATTAAAACTAAAAACCAAAAAATCTTTTTATGTCATTAGTAACTGAAAAGATTGATATGCTTTCCCTACCAGTCTTCAAAGACAACCTGAAGGAGAAAGTGTTGTCTTAGCCTTCCCTTATTCTCCAAAATTTGTATCACACTTACTGTAGTAAAGGAAAAGAAAGGGGAAAAAATAGAATAAAATAAAGATAAGGAGAAACTACTTTATTAATATGTTCAAATATATTAAATTAGCATACTCTTTCTCATACAAAATTTAGTGATGGACTGAGTGATAATAAAGGATAGATGTAATGAGGGAGAGAGAGAAATCAAAGAGGAATTCATCTTTCAGATTTAAACATTGAATTGACCATCTTGTCACTCACTCATTCATGCAAGGGATATTTATTTATTCTTCACTATATGCCAGGTGCTGTTGTAGATAATAGGGAGACTGGGATGAACGAAATAGACAGAAAAATCAGATTGGCAAAACTTAAGAAAGAACGGATTTAGGAGTCAGAGGCGTTAGAAGTTCATTTTGTGATCCTAAGAGTCATAACACATCCAAGTGATATGAGATCAGAGGTTGAGTGTGTGTGACCGGCAGGGAGATGGAGTAATTCCTTTGGCTCTGCCATTCTGCCTCTAGCTCTTCAACTCAGTCAAACATAAATGACCTGAAGAGATGAGGGCTGGAGGTGGATATCCTTAGGCAATTTACTAAATTATTTATTCCATGCCTTCTTTTATTCCAAGCTTATTTTTCTCATGACTCTGCAATCTTGGCTGTTCTGAAATTGATATTTAGCCGTTTGGATCGGGCATTGAGAGTTGATATTTTTGATATTTGAAACCTTGCTTTCCTTAAAAGACTACTATTCTCACCTTAATGGACCATGACTTGACTGGGTTCTTGCCCTGGAACCTCTACTTAACATAAGCGGAATTCAGAAAGCTTAGGTTTTCTGCTCAATTTAAAAGGCAAATATCAAAGAGAAGTGTTTTTCTGTTTCAATATTTATATCTGCTACAAACTCTACTGACTTCTCGATTACATCCTCGTCCTCCTGGTTCCAACAGAGGGCACAAAATGTATTGTGGGTTCTTACAGTGATAAGGGTGCTCTAATAGCATTTAATGGATAGAGCCCAGAGATGCTAACTATCTTGGAAAGGTGGAGGCATCCTCATCAAAGAACTGCCCCATCCCAAAATTCCAGTAGCGTTGTGAAATACAAACGGCATACTATGTTCTCATTTAAGTAATTCTAACCCTTGTCTCCTGTGATAAGAGCTCCTCCGTCTCTTGGTTGTACTGACTCAAGTTTTTCACTAACTTTTCTGAGGGTTGTAATCATTCCTAATCACTTCAAATACAATCGTATAGACATCCAGCACTTCAATCTGGATTTATTCAGTGTTAGCACTTTAGGAAGGATGCCTCCTATGGACTTAGCACTACACCAAGTACTATAACATAAGCAGCATCAAGAGATAGCCCTTGTCCAGCAGGTGCTGGAAACAACAGAGACATGATCCAATAATGAAACCAGTGAAATAAGCACAGCAAAACAATTTTTAATAAGTTTAAAACCTAGTGGCCTTTATGCACTCCACTCTAGTCCCCACATGTGTAAATGTAAGATCTATTGTAGATTTCAACAAATAGGAAAACCATCAGGAGATGGGTGTTCACTGGACTCAGAGTTGTCAATATCTCAAAATTATAAATTTCACAAAAATATCTAGTTATTTGTCTTCTTTTGGAAATAAAACAAAACACAAAAGCAACAAAAGTGGATCTGCAATATAAGTCCAGCTTTACCTCTTGGCAACAGTTAGCCAGAGATAAGCTTCAGCTCTCTCCTTTAGATAATCCATGAGTCTCCAGTGTGCCACGGTCCTCCTGCATCCGGCTTCATTCACATGTGTGAGCTGCCTAACTCTCACAGGCATTTCAATGTATACCTGATCTAGAGCTTCAGAGATGACTCAACACTTTTCTTTGTCATTCATCAATACTTTCAGTTAATGTATTTCTCCATAATTGTTCATAAACTTTATATTTTAGTCTACTTGCATATTACTATTTCTATATTTTTCTTGTGTAACACCTGTTGGTTAAGCATTTACTTTATGGCATATATTATGTTTCATATACTGTAAATAATTTAATATATGTGACCAATTGGTTGTGAGTCACTATCACCTGACTGATTTCACAGTTTTGAAAACTGAGAACTAAAGTAACTGGTCCTTTTGTCTGAGGTCACGAAAGATGTGATTGAGCAGAGATTTTATCCCAAATCTGTCTGACTCCAAAACCTAAATCTTAGCAACGAATCTGCCTTAGTTATTATATATGATTTAACTTATTTTTTTGAGATATTATAAACAACTTGCAAATCAAAACTGCCCATCTTCAGGTGACTCAAGATGTCTAAAATTAATTTCTTGATACAATAATAAAAACCTAAATATCAATACTAAATTTTACTTTACAAAAGTTATTTGATTTGTAATTATTTTAAACCTATGTGTGCTTCAAAGGAGAATAAACCTAGCATTTTATGATTCCCTTATTAGATATAATGAATGCCACATACTCCCTTTCTTCATTCAACAAATATTGAACACCTAGTTTATTAGGCCTTGCACTAGACACTGGGGGAAAGGCATTGAACAAAATCCTTAAAGAAATTAAGTTTCAGTTGAAGAAATAGAAAATGAGGAAAAATAGCACCTAAATACACAATGAAATGTTCAGGAGCCCTAAGAGGTATGAGTCAAATAAAGCATGGTTGTGATGTTGTAATCTCTTAGAATGTGTGGTCTGGGCAGGACTCTTAGATAAGGTGACAGCTGAAAAGAGACCCAAAAGAACCAAAATCACAAATGTCATGGAACCCTAAAAAAAGACATTTTAAGTGGTGAGAACAGACCTCCCTGAAATGGGAACATACTTAGACCGTTAGAGCAAAAGTCTGGGTTCAGTGTGGCTGAAGGGGCAGAATAGAAAGAGATCTGATCAGCCAGGTTGCCTGTGGGGAAAATGTGTTATTGGTGCAGGATGGGATCTTCCTTTCCGCTCCTGATAGTTTCTGCTGAGGGTGGTCCTGGATCCCTACTGTCCTCTCTGCTCTGTGTCCCATGAGCCACAGGTAGTAGGAAATATTTTTCTGATTTATTTGTTTAGAATAAGATTCACATATCTGTGGTGATGGATAAAAACTAGACTATTGGTGGTGAACATGATACAGTCTATACAGAAAATGATACAAAATAGTGGATACCTGAAATTTACACATTGTTACAAGCCAATATGACCTCAATAAAATCATTACCAAAAAAAAAAAAAAAAAGAAGAAGATTCTGTGCACCCACTAGTTGTGTCTGTCACTCTCCTTTTCTTTTTTTGGAAAATGGTCTAGCTGCAGTCAACCTGCCTTTTTCATTTCTGTATTCCAGGAATAAAAGAGGAAAGTTCTGCTCAAGCGGGATGTGGATAGGAGTGGGATGTTGTAGTTTTGGAGAGTCAGTTCAAATATCAATGCCAAAATTCCTCTTACTTTTTCAATGTATGTGTGATGGGACATCAATGCAGATTTCATTTTGAAATGATCATCTTAATCAAAATTATTGACTGTGTAAAATATTCCAATAAAGGAACTCAGGAGCTTGCTAAGGGCACAGGATCCCAAATGTGAAAATATAGATCTGGCTACCACATAATGTCTTGGTAAGAGGTTAAATAGTTACTTTCTTTGAAATAAGGTTATCATTATCTCTCTACCAATGGGTTGCAATGTAGGCACTAGCTCTGTCTACCTGTAATAATTTTCTCTTCTTTAGAGCTTTAAAGCAAGAGCTCTCTTTAGAGAAAACTTCGAAAAATTCAGGGGCATAAAATGCCCCTTTTCATGCTACATAAGATTCCATCTCTTTGTACTACTTAAAAGAGAAGATACTGAACATAGATCCAAACTAACTGTGCAGGAGTTCATTAATTCATGAACTTGACTCCATATAGCTTCATCATGTACCCATCTCAGCCAGCTTTCTAAGGAAGAGGAAGATAAGGGTCTTGTCCATTATATTTTAAACAATAAAGCCAGAACCTACTACTGTGTCTGGAATATTTAACACATTGTTGCTGAATGAATCAATATTATTGTGGGTTTGTATGAGAAGGAAATCTGGTCTAGCATCTGTTTCATTGTCCTAGTATAATGCATGCATAATGATCTGCATATGGAAATGAGTGGCAATCGCACTTTGTTTCCTGAATTTTATCTTTAAATTGTAAATTTTATATGTAATATTAATATTTTATGCATTTTATAGGGATCCGTGGGTACATTAATTTTTGACAAACAGCAATCTCCATACACATTTAGAACATAAATTTTGGAAGAATGGCTCCCTTAGTGCCGCTTAAAAACATCTCACTTGTTGACAATAGGAAGCTATTTCCCAAAACACCTTTAACCTAGATTCCTTGTCTATAAACACAAAAGCAGATATGTGTAAACAGATTCCCAAAAAAATTCAATTAAAATGTTTTAGAAGAACAAGAATAAGAAATGTCTTAGCAATAAAAATACATGCAAATCAGATTTGAAAGCAAAAGACCATGTTGCAGGTTGTAGTCTATTTTGGCAAGCCTCTTTGAAGAAGTGAATTCATAACACCAATACCATCCAACACTTTCAAATTTGATTTCCATAAGCTACCTTTGCTTTACCAATGCATAAAATCGGGATAAAACCTATTTTTCAAGACCCAGGGGAAATGTAACTTCTGCAGCTTTTCCTTCTCCTAGATTTGTTAATATTATCTTTTATAATGCTTGCTTCTATACATTTGTTCGTGTTTTGATTATTACATATTTAAAAAATTTCACCCACAATATAATGAATTGCTTTTCTCTTTAAGTCCTTCTGCCATTGCCATACTACACTATAAGCTTGCACAGGTTATTGTCAGAGTCCTACTCACTACACTATTCTTTTTCTTACCTTCCATAATCCCAGAATCTTTATAGAAACAAAAATAAGCTGTTTGGACTTAATAATCTGTTAAAAAAGAAGACAAGAAAAAATTAATGCTAGTATTGATGCTAATAAAATGAAAATAATAACTAAACATTTATACAACTAATAAGGATTGCAATCAGATTTGTAGTGTGAAAAAAGTAAAATAATTACATTCTATATGTGTTAGTCTGACACTACCTCTCATACAAGTTCTACCTTTTTTGTCATTCTTTCTTTATTTGTGTCCCCATCTTTTGTATTCTCTTTTTATCTTCTTTCCAAACCCTATCACTGAGCCTACATTTCTATGCTTGACATTGACATAAAATTGATGAATAAATATAATCTTGTGACCACTCCTTGTTAATGATGATTTATCAGACTAAAAACTGGAATCTATTACATTTTTTTTCAGGTCATGAGGAGAATTCTTAATATATAAAGTTGTACAGGAGAAGAATTTGCTACCCTAAAATGTATATTTTTGGATCAATTATTTTTAAGAACAAAAGACTCAAGAAGAAATGTTAACCTTCTCCCCAACTGCCTAAAGGAATTTAAGATAGAAGGACTGTCTGTAGAAGAAGCTATCACCATAGACAACTCTAGGTGTGGTACACAAGAAGGTACTCACAAGCCCATTTTTATCAAAGTTCTCTCTCAAGACTCATTGTCTATAGATGGCCCAGCAAACATTTGTTTATCAACATTCACTTTTACATCTGTATGTGAATTACCTTCCTCCCCTTTGAAGTCCCAAACCACTAACCACAAAATTCTCCTTGTCTTTAGGTGAAGAGGATATTTAAGGTGGTGACTTTGGCTATTTTGGTGAGTTACTTAGTTTTCCTGGGTTTCTCCATGTATACATGTTATTAAACTTGTCTGATTTTCTCTTATCTTGTCTCATATCAATTTAACTCTTAGACCAGCCAGAAGAACCTAGAAGGTAGAGGAATATTGCTAACTTCAAAATATTCACAGAATTAGATTTTGAGGATATTAAAAATCCTAAGGGTTTTTTAGCTCTGCCATTTTGTAAAGAGATATAGTAGAGACATCTTTGAGTTGTCCCATTATAGATTTTTAGAACTTTAACCATTATACTGAATTTTAATATAATTCCTTTACTCTATAGAGAAGGAAACTGAATCCTGGACATTTTAAATATCTTATTGTAGATTATAAGTATTGGGTAATCTAGGCCTAGAACCCTAAGTCTGTTCTTCTGGCTTCTATCCAAATGTCTTACAGTGGGGTTGTTTTGAAAACAGTTCTTTTATTGTATTTTTTCAAAAAGACAAATACGTAGTATAAAACACATTTTAAAAAACAGAAAAATCTCCACTCCCTCCCCAGCAGCTACTTAGAGTGCAGGACTGCACATGGCTCTGAAAGGAGAAGGAGGAGGGGTAGCTCTCAATGGCAACACCTTCACTCTCTGAATTGCTTCCCCTGGGCGAGAAAGTCCTACACGGAGGAGGCTAAGCAATTGTGGAGTGTCTACACCAAGCTAGCACCCAAGAAGGGCAGATAGTACAGAGTGACAATGCCCCCAGGAGCATGCATGTGAAAGAAAGTGCCCCTTTCCCTGCCTGGAACACCAGCTTAGCCAGTTGTCAAGAGCAAGGGACCCCTGACAGAGTGCATACACATGCCTTTGTAAAGCAACAGTGACAAGCGGGCAATCACAGATTTGCCCTGTCAGCATAGATTCCAAAGGACAGACAAAGACACCAGAGATCATGACAGGTTCAGATTACACATCTCCTGACCACCACTAGTGGTGGCAGGTGGAATCTGCAGCCAAATATTATCAATAAGCAAAGGCACAATTCCACTCCATTAAATAGTCTGAAGAAATATATTAATAATCCAAACCAGAAGAAGAATGAAAAGCACCCAGAAATCAATCCTGAACCACCCACAGAAATTTATAATCTAAATGATAGGGTATTCAAAATAATCATCAAAAATCACCCCAACAAGTTACAAGAAAATTCAGAAAGATGGTTCAATGAAATTAGGAATAAAATTAATGAACAGAGGCTGTTTTTCACAAAAGATATTGAAACTATAAAGAAAAACCAATCAGCAATGCTAGAGATGAGAAACATGATGAATGACATAAAATAAAATTTGGAGTCCTTGAATAACAGAGCTTATATCATGGAGGATAGAACTAGCAGTTTTGAGGACAGAAATATAGAAATACTTCATATGGAAGAAAGCAAACTAAGACTAAAAAGTGATGAAGAAATTCTCCGAGAAATATTGAACTCAAATAGGAAATGCAACATAAGGATTATAGGTATGCAAGAGGGAGAAGCAAGGGAAAAAGGAGCACAAAGCTTCCTCAAGGAAATAATAGCTGAGAACTTTCAAAACCTGGGGAAGGAACTGGAATTACAAGTAAAAGAAGCTAATAGAACTCCTAATTACATCAGTGTGAAAAGACCTTCTCCAATCCTATATTAGTAAAACTGGCAAAAGTCCATGACAAAGAAAAAATATTAAGAGTAGCAAGGCAGAAGAAAGTAATTTACAATGGAACCCCTAGGAGACTTTCAGTGGATTTCTCAGCAGAAACCTTACAAGCTAGGAGAGAGTGAATGAAATATTCGAAATTCTGAAAGACAAAAACTTTCAGCCAAGAATAGCCTATCCAAGTGAAAATATCATTTAGATATGGTGGAGAAATAAAAACAATCCCTGATAAACAAAATCTGAGGGAGTTCATGACCACAAGACTCCCCCATAAGAAATGATCAAGAAGGTCCTCATATGTAAAAAAAGAGAAAAGGTTTATGAAGCCTTGAGCAAGGAGATAGAAAAAATCAGAAAATTGCAGCTCTCTATCAGAACAGGTTAGCAAACCTTAATTATAACATTAAAGATAAAAGGAAGGAAAACATCAAAAATAACTAGAGTCTCATCATTTTCACCACAAACTCACAACACAAAATGGAATAAGCTGTGACAACAAACACTTAAAAGGGGCAGAGGAAAGGGATGGAACCTGCTTAGACTAAAGAAATAAGAGGCAATCAGGAAATGGACTATCTCATCTAGAAGATTTTTTTATACAAACGTCACAATAATCACTAAACAAATAATAAGAACAAAGACACAAATGATAAATAAAGAGAAAACTGAGAAAACTAACATGGAGACCTACCAAACTGAATCATCAGTCTGAAATACCTGGGACAAGAAGAAAGGGAAATACAGAACAACCAGAAAACTAGTAATAAAATGACAGCATTAATGCCTTATATATCAATAATCACTCTAAATGTAAATGGATTGAACTCTCCAATAAAAAGCTACAGAGAGGCTGGATGGATTAAAAGGTAAGACCCAACAATATGCTGCCTCCAGGAGACACATCTTATCTCAGCTCTAAAGCCAAACACAGACTCAGAGAGAAGGGATGGAAGATGATACTCCAAGCTAATGGCAAACAAGAGAAAGCAGGTGTTGCCATATTTATATCAGACAAAGTAGACTTCAAGATAAAAAAGGCTATGAGAGACAAAGAGGGGCAGTATATAATGATAACAGGGACACTCCACCAAGAGGATATGACACTTTTAAACATATATTCACCCAATAAAGGAGCACCAAAGTATGTAAAGCTACTATTAATAAACCTAAAAGGAGATATTAACAGCATCACAAAAATAGTAGGGGACTTTACCACCCCACTTACATCAATGGATAGATCACCCAAAGAGAAAGTCAACAAGGAAATAGTGGAATTAAATGAAAACCTAGACCAGATGGAGTCAAAAGATACCTATATACAGAACACTCCATCCAAAAAGAGCAGAATACACATTCTTTTCAAGTGCACATGAAACATTCTCAAAGATAGACCATATATTGGGAAACAAGAGAAACCTCAATAAATTTTAAGAAGATTGAAATCATACCACATATCTTTTACGACCATAATACTGTGAAACTAGAAATCAGCTACAAGAAAAAAGCTGAGAAAGTCACAAGTATGTGGAGACTAAACAACATGTTGCTGCACCATGAAAAGGTCATTGAAGAAATCAAAGGAGAAATAAAAAATGTCTGCAGACAAATGAAAATGAAAACACACCATAGCAACTCATATGGGATGCAGCAAAAGTGGTCCTAAGAGGGAAATTCATAGTGATACAGGTCCACCTTAACAAACAACAAAAATCTCAAATAAGCAATCTTAAACTGCACCTAACAGAACTAGAAAAGAAGCAAAAATAAAGCCCAAAGTCAGAAGAAGGAGGGATATAATACAAATTAGAGCAGGAATAAATGTAACTGAAACCAAAAAAGCAGCAGAAAAGATCAATAAAACTAAAAGCTGTCTTTATCTTTGAGAAGATAAAGAAAATTGACAAGCTCTTTGCCAGACTCACTAAGAAAAAAAGAGAGAAGGCTCAATAAATAAAATTAGAAATGAAAGAGGAGAAATTACAATGGATACCACAGACAGAAAGGATTATAAGAGAATACCATGGAAGACTGTATGTCAGAAAATTTGACAATCTAGAAGAAGCAGACAAATTCTTAGACTCATACAACCTCCCAAAACTGAATCAAGAACAAATAGAGAATCTAAATAGACCTATCACAAGTAAAGAAATTAACACAGTAATAAAAAATCTCCTCAAAAATAAAAGTCCAGGACCAGATGGCTTCTCTGGAGAATTCTACCATTCAAAGAAGAGTTAATACCTATCCTTCTGAAAATATTCCAAAAAATTGAATAAGATGGAACATTATCTATCACATTTGATGAGGCCAACATCACCCTGATCCCAAAGCCAGACAAGGACAATACAAAGAAAGAAAATTACAAGCCAGTTTTGCTGATGAACATAGATGCAAAAGTCCTCAACAAAATACTGGCAAACTGAATACAGCAATACATTAAAAGGATAATACACCATGATGAAATAGGATTTATATCAGGGATGTAGGAATGGTTCAACATCTGCAAATCACTCAATGTGACATATCACATTAAGAAAATGAGGAAAGAAAATCACATGATCATCTCAATAGATGGCAGAGAAAGCATTTCACAAGATCCAGCATCCATTTATGATAAAAATCTCTCAATAAAATGGTATAGAAGGAAAGCACCTCAACATAATAAAGGCCATATATGACAAACCCACAGTCGACATCATACACAACAGGGAAAAACTGAAAGCCATCCCTCTGAGAACAGGAACAAGACAAGGGTGCCCACTCTTGTGAGTCTTACTCAACATACTACTGGAGGTTTTAGTGAGAGCAATTAGGCAAGAAAAAGAAATAAAGGGTATTCAAATTGGCATTGAAGTAGTCATACTCTCGCTGTTTGCAGACAGCATGGTTTTATACATAGAAAACCCTAATGGGGTTGGATTGCATTGGAAAACTATCAGAAATAATGAACAACTACAGCAAAATTGCAGGGTGCAAAATCAACTTACAAAAATCAGTTGCATTTCTATACTCTAATAATGAGGTAGGAGAAAGAGAACTCAAGAATAGAATCCGGGGCCGGCCTGGTGGTGCAGCGATTAAGTGCGCACGTTCCGCTTCGGCAACCCAGGGTTCACTGGTTTGGATCCCAGGTGCAGACATAGCACCACTTGGAATGCCATGCTGTGGTAGGCATCCCACATATAAAGTGGAGGAAGATGGGCATGGATGTTAGCTCAGGGCCAGCCTTCCTCAGCAAAAAGTGGAGGATAGGCAGCAGTCAGCTCAGGGCTAATCTTCCTCAAAAAAAAAAAAAAAAAAGAATAGAATGTCATTTACAATTTCAACAAAAAGAATAAAATATCTAAGAACAAATTTAACCAAGGAGGTAAAAGACCCATACAATGAAAATTATAAGACATTATTGAAAGAAATCCATAATGACATAAAGAAATGGAAAGCTATTCCATGCACATGTCCTGGAAGAATAAACATAGTTAAAATGTCCATACTACCTAAAGCAATCTATAGATTCAATGCAATTCCAATCAGAATCCTAATGACATTCTTCACAGAAACAGAACAAACAATCCTAAAATTCATATGGGGCAACAAAAGACCCTGCATATCTAAAACAATCTGAGAAAAAAGAACAAAACTGGAGGCATCACAATTCCTGACTTCAAAATATACTGTAAAGCTATAGTATCAAAATAGCATGGTACTGGCACAAAAACAGACACACAGATCAATGGAACAGACTTGAAATCCCAGAAATAAAACCACAAATCTACAGACAGCTAATCTTTGACAAAAGAACTAAGAACACACACTGGAGAAAAGAAAGTCTCTTCAATTAATGGTGTTGGGAAAATTGGATAGATGCATGAAAAAGAATGAAAGTAAACCACTGACTTTCACCACACACAAAAATTAACACAAAATCTATTAAAGATCTGAAGATAAGATGTGAAACCATGAAACTCCTAGAAGAAAATATAGGCAGTACATTCTTTGACATCAGTCTTAGAAGGATCTTTTTGAATACCATGTCTACACAGGCAAGGGAAATAAAAGAAAAAATAAACAAATGGGACTTCATCAGACTAAAAACCTTATACAAGGTAATGGAAACCAGGAACAAAACAAAAAGACAACCCACTAACTGGGGAAAATATTTGCAAATCACATGTCCAACAAATGGTTAATCTCTAAAATATATAAAGAACTCACACAACTCAACAACAAAAAAACAAACAACCCAATCAAAAAATGGGCCGAGGATCTGAACGGACGTTTTTCCAGAGAAGATATACAGATGGCTGATAGACACATGAAAAGATGTTCGATATCACTAATCACTAGGGAAATGTAAATCAAAACTACACTTAGATATCACCTTACACCTGTTAGAATGGCTATAATCACCAAGACAACAAATAATAAATGTTGGAGAGAATGTGGAGAAAAGGGAACTCTCATCCACTGCTGGTGGGAATGCACCAGATGCAGCCACTATGGAAGACAGTATGGAGATTTCCCAAAAATTAAAAATGGTAATACCATACAACCCAGCTATCCCACTACTGAGTATTTATCCAAAGAACTTGAAATCAACAATTCAAAGAGACTTACACAACCCTATGCTCATTGCAGCATTATTCACAATAGCCAAGATGTGGAATCAACCCAAGTGCCCATCAACTGATGAATGGATAAAGGAGATGTGGTATATATATACAATGGAATACTACTCAGCCATAAAAAAGACAAAATCATCTCATTTGCAACAACATGGATGGACCTCAAGGGTATAATCTTAAATGAAATAAGCCAGACAGAGAACGACAAACACTATGATTTTCACTCATATGTGGAAAATAAACTAAGATATGGACAAAGAGAACAGATTAGTGGTTTCAGAGGGGAAGGAGGTTGTGGGATCGGCCTAACAGTTACAGGGGAACATTTACATGGTACCTGACAAATAGTAATGTACAACTGAAATTTCGCAATGTTATAAACTATTATGACCTCAATAAAAAAAAGTACGTAGAATTCCCCAAAACTATCTTTTCAGATATTTTCACAGTCCACGTGTACTATTTTTCCAGTGAATTTTGTTTCGATAAGGCAAACTGCATTTTCATGTCACGTGGGAGAGAGAACTTTTCACATTTCCCTCAGGATGGGTCATCAGCTACAAGATACTTTAGATATTGACTTATTTAGCTCCAGAATTCACATCTTGCTATGTTTTACCCTGCATTTATGTTGGCACATCAGCCAGTCTCAGGCTGGCAGTAATGAAGCCTTGCAGAATGTAGAGTATTTGAAAATGATTGGTACAAGGAGTTAATTCAATCAGGAAAAGGGCACATTTTGGTTGCATTATTATAAGTAAATGAAATTTAAAACATCCATACTAAGGAGGATTACTGTAAGTAGTTCTATAGCACGTGACTCTTTTAAAATTTTTTATTCATTAAATGAGCTTGCTTATGCCATTGAAAGTTCCCTGTGCTTAGGTGAAATTTTTTTAAAGGTATTTATGTGTCTCGATTTTTGGAATACCAAATTCCTTAGAGTTTGTCCCCTAAAAGTAGTCCTCTAAAACTGAGAACAAGTCTCAGACATAAAGGTGAATATGCAAAGGCTGCTCATCTTTATAGTGATACTGATATATGATAGATTTTGCACCCCAGAAACATGGCCACACAATTTATTTGAAGCTGATGACATAAGCATAATAAATCATTCCATAAATCACCATTTTCCAGACTGCCTTTGAAATATTGTTACTGTGGAGGAAAATTCGTGATATCTCTTATCTCATGAATGATATCTCATGAATAAGCGAGTGATTTAAAATGTTTAATCTTAATTGTTTCTCAAATTAACATATTAATTTAGTAATATAAAATTAAATCTTGTAGCATTAACCAAAAACTTCGGAAAGTCCCTTGAATGTTTCACTCACTGTAAAATGAATGGATGTCTAATTTGCCTGCTCATAGTATGGGTGACATGCTATGATTTTTAGATAATCCAGCAAACTCTTAACAAGTAAATCTATTTTAAGGGGAAGACATTCATTCAACAAATCTTGTTTGCACTCCCACATGAAGCAGGCATTATGCTATGGCCTTAGACAAACAGGAGCACAATACAACAGTTCATCTTTCCTGACCTTGTTGGTGTCTACTGCAGAGAAGTCTGCCTCGGTAGTTTCTCAATAACAACCAAGGTAGGGCTTCCCCAAAAAGGCTTATCTTAATTAAAGCCTTACCTTTCTATGGTGAAATTATCTAAGCAGTTGAGCTTGACATATTTCTACTGTTAAAATTATTAATATCTTTATTGTATTTGTTATTGTTCTTTGCACATCTCTAGGGAGATTTCTAAAATTCAAGTAGACAAGGAGCCAATAAACTCCAAAAATTTTACACACGGTGATTTATAATAAAAAGGTGTTTTTAAGCATTTGCAATAACAAAACAGAATATGGCTGCCATCTCCAGAAAGGAAGATGCGAAACGACAAATAGAGTTGCTATAACGTATGGAGAAAAAGAAAGGAGAACTAGAAGGGGTTCATTAAATCAGGGTGACATGTAGTCTCTTGCTTATCTAGTCCAGAATAGCCCGTTTGTATAGGATAAAAGGAAGGACTTCATGGTTCCAGATGCATTTAGGTCCAAGTACAGAGATGGATACTTTTTGTAATTGGTATAAAGTAAAGAAAAAATATGGACTTTGTTTACCCTAATTGGAGAAATATTGATACAAAAAACTAGTGCATCAATATATTCTGTAATTCAAAGATATATGCCATTAATAGAAATGAAAGATACTAAGATGGATAGTTGAGACTTGATGGGAAAATATTTAGATAAAAGAAAAGCCAGCAAAAACAAAGCATATCTTTGAGTCTTTTTTAATCTAAGTATAACTTTTAACCCATAAATTCATGTGTTACTTTTAGGGACCATAGATAACATCAGCCATGTTAGCTCAAAGGCTTTCACATTCACTCTGTACCACTTTATTACTCAGTTACTAAGGGGAATAGATGTGTGATAAAGGAAAAGGGCGTTTGTTAGAACAATTCTATTCAAGTATTCAAGTGTGTGCAAATAGAGAGGATATTTAGGATCATTGTCTTTGAAGAATCTGAAGAAAAATGCTGTTTATTCAAAGAAAGTTTAAATGAAATGCTACCCAAAAGGAAACTTGCTTTTCTTTTCTGTTGTCTATTTTCCTCTTCCATTCTATCCCAGAGGCTATTGAAGGAAACTCATAGAAAAAGCTCAGCCAGCACTGTTTCTCAGATACACCCATATCCACAAGAGAATCTTCTTATTACATTATAAAATAAGTACTAGGCTATATATATAGTATTTTTGGAAATGTTTTATGACTTGAAATTAACAAAATAAAACCAAAGAATTTTAAACCGATATAGGTTAATAACCAGAATTAATGACTACAGAATAAATACGGCTTCAATCAGATTCACTTAGGAAAAATAAAACGATTGGGTTAACATTTTGTTAATTTAATTGGATGATTCAACTAGTGAATTTTAATCATGTACTTTTTGTTTTATTTCTGTCGTTAGTAATTAACTATAGTATTGGAGGAGAAATTATGTAATTTATGTCTTCCTGCTGAAATGATAGAGGGGACATTAAGACACAAAGCTCTTCTTTGATGTTTATTTTAAATTCAAATTTAACTGGGCACCCTGTATTTTTATTTGCTAAATTTTGGCATCTTTGCTCCTGAAGTTTCTGGTTCCATGTCTTATGTTTCAAATGTGTGCTTTTCTATTTACAGCAAGGTGAAATAAATATACTGGTTCAGAATTTATCAATATGCCTTCGTAGATGTCTGCTACTCCTAAATACCAAGTTGAAAATAAAGAGGAGAAGAAATCAGAGGTTTTATCCTTAAGGTGGGAAAGGGGTGAAATTACGCCTGAGGTGTGAGTATCGGGATGGGAGGGAGTATAACATAATATAGTGAACATCATCAGCAGATAGGGAAATAAATGAAGAAGCACAGCTTTGTACATAGACCTTGTGACATCTTTTCGGCAATCTAAACAGAAAAATTATTTTCCAACACCCAGCCATTTTCTCTCGAAAGAAGCACAAGTTCTTTATTTATAAGGAAATCACATTGGCCCTATGTCCTAACGCATGAAAATGAAAATGCACATGCCGTCAATGTGGCCATTAAGTAAAGGATTTTCCCCTAAGTGGAATGCATTTTGGTTTTTTTGTTTGTTATGAATGAACAAATAGGCCTTTGTGTACTGAACTGGCACAGCCAGAGATTACCGCTAAACCTTTTTTTGTGTTTGCAGTACAGCCATTGTGAAGAAGGAAGCTACAATTTGTTTGCATGTCTTTTCCACTTTGAATTCTTTTTTTTCCTTTTTCAGGTTATCTTGCCACTCACAAGAACAATAATGCCAGAGGAAAAGATAGCTTGAATGAGACTGCATGATTGCTTTTCCAACTAAAATGAGTAGAAAATGAAAACACTTTAAATGAAGTGTCTCAAATAAACGTTTAATTTAGGAGAAGACAGCAGCCGCATATATACCACCATATCAAATATTGAAAGAGCATTTATTGAAGAGTTGAAAGACTCATTTGTGGGAAAATAAATGTAGCTCTAAAAGTGAGCTGCTGAGAGTAAATATGTAAAACCACACTTAAGCGGCATGCAATTAACGTGAATTTATACTAAAAAAATGAAAAACGCGATGAGATTTTGGGGAATTACATATTTGAACAAGGAACTGTTTCGTTTTTCATCAAACATGAGCCTAGCTGTGCACTGGCTGCTCTTTAATGAGATGTAATTTCAAACGAACTAGAAAGTTTTATGTTTATACACTAAGAAAAGTAGGTACATTATTTTCTCAATTCCTTTCATGTCTTTCTTTAAATATCCCTTCCTTATCTCCTCTATGTGCTTCAATATCTGTCTTTCCAGGCCTAATGAATTTCTTCTTCCTTATTCTCTCCTTTCTTCTTAATAATTCTTGCTTTTTATTGGTTCCCTCACTAAGTTCTCATATTTTCTGGCATTGATATTCTTCTTCATTCTTTATCCATTATTTTATATCAATCTCACCTCATTCAATCCCCATATTTATTTCTAGCCACATAATTTACTTTTGCCATAATCCATAATATCCGGGCATTATACCAATTGTGAAGTTACTAAAAACTATGACCCTAACAGAGAGAAGGAAAATTTTATATTTTTAACACATACAGAAATGGTATTGTCATTAGAGTGCTTTGTAAATCATAAAGCATTTAAGAAAATTATATAACAACTTGCTTTTATTAGAAGTATTATTGGAAATGCTGATCTCATATCACACGTGACTAGAATAACCTTCTAATAGTTATACTATGTACCTATCTATATTATATAACTATATATAATATATAACTGTATGTAAAATGATTTCAGTCACATATGTATAAGCCAATCAATTTAAAATATAGTTCCTCCCAAACGAAATAGCAAAAGCACAGGTAAATGATAAGGATGTCAAAATGTCAAGCAATTTCTCCTTCTCTTAATAGTGCCATTTTTATCAAATAAGGAGGTGGTTTTCCATAGATGAGTTTACAGAACAAGAACGGAAGCTGTCCTGACTGCTTCTAGAGCCAAAAGGCATTAGTATAGAAGTTCCAAATGCTTTGTATCTACTGCCAAATATTTTCTTGGCCAATGTTAATTATACTACTTCCTGCTGTTTCAGCATTCAGAAGATCAATTAAAGTTGAAGAAATGAAATGAAAAATAATAAAATGGATTTAGTTTTCTGACTTGATGTTGAAAAGAGAGACCTTCAGTTACTTTTTGCCTATCTTACACAGAATCCTGTCAGAATACGACTTATTTTATTCTTAGATATTTCTAGGTAAATTTTGATATTTTGCATCTATGTGATTAAATTTCTTAAGTCTTTCAAATTTTCTTTAGATTCGTGGTCTATTTTTCCAGTAATTTGCAATGGAATACAAATTACCCATTAAAATAATTTTTTATTCCTTATGATAAAATATAAATTAAATTCTAATTATGAAGCCTAGATCAAAAGCCTATTCTGTCACCTCACTCACTGATTTATTCTTCATTCTTCCCAAACTTTAATCATCTCTATATTAAGCAATAAATATATAAACAAATCTGATAGACTGAAGGACATATTACTGGTAATCAGATTATCACAGTACCAGACATTGAATTTCACCCCATTTAAAACCATTACGTGACCTTTCTACTCTAATTACTTAACTTTGCCCAGCTGAAGTTTGTTACTGAATTGGAGCAAATTTCATCTCATTTAAATTTATTAAAAATCACCTAGTTTATTTAAAATCCCTGTTAGCAGACAGAACATCCTTTTCCACATTATAAATGTTTGAGAATCTGTGTTGAATCTCCTTTTATGTTTCTTTGTATTTTATTTGGACTTGTTTTAAGAGCACACTTAAACATGTAACCATGTCCATTTAAAAGGTCACATTTTCTTTGAAAGGCATGTTAGCACACTGAAGATCCACTCTCGACCACCTTAATAACAAAACCAATATGATCTTCAACAAATAATTACATTTAAGGGGAAAATCAACAGACTATATTAAGATGATGCCATCTACTTCTAAAATTTAGTATAAGTAAATCTACGTCAGAGATACTCATAGTCCTGTGATCTGATGATGTCAGAGTTTTGAGAGAAAAATATCAAGGATATACTTCAGTATGTAGGGGAGGAAGAAATTTCCTCTACCCGCTCTGGGTTCTTCTGGCCAGAGAATGAATTAAATTCACATGAGACAGAATAACAGGAGAAAATTCAACAATGCTTTATAGCATGTATACATGGGAGAGGCTCAGGCAAGCTGAGCAACTCGCCAAAATGGCCAAAGCCCCCACCTTAAATATCATCTTCAGCTAAAGACAAAGGAGGGTTGGGAGTGGGGGAGTCAGTTACAGGAGATTACCAGACAAGTACAGTAAACAAGGGTTAGGTTATTATGCAGATCTAAGTCCTTGCCTTCTACATTGATAAGAGTTTCTAGAGATAAGGCCAACCTTCCTTCCTGGTACAGAGAGGGAGACACCTTTGCAGACGGAGATTTCCTTTACAATGCAAATGTCTCTTAACAAAGGGTAAGTAAATTCTACTTTTCAGAGTTTCTTTCCTGTCTGCAGTTTTTTTTTTTTAAGATTTTATTTTTTTCCTTTTTCTCCCCAAAGCCCCCTGGTACATATTTGTATATTCTTCATTGTGGGTCCTTCTAGTTGTGGCATGTGGGACGCTGCCTCAGCATGGTTTGATGAACAGTGCCATGTCTACACCCAGGATTCGAACCAACGAAACACTGGGCCACCTGCAGTGGAGCGTGAAAACTTAACCACTCGGCCATGGGCCCAGCCCCTGTCTGCAGTTTTTTAAAAGTAACCAGCCCCAAATAATCCTCATGCCAAAGAGACATATCTTGGGGAGGCCAATTCCAGTCCCCCACAGTAAACTAGTTCATATTATATCCAGATCTTTAGTCTATGTCTGATAGCACCAATAATCATATTGTGGAAAAAGATGGTGGTTGTTATGGTCTGAATGTTTGTGACCCTCCAAATTCATATATTGAAATTCTAAACCTCAAACATGATGGTATTAAGAATTAGGGCCTGTGGGAGGTGCTTAGTTCATGAGGGGAGAGCCTTCGTGAATAACATTTGGATTCTTATGAGAAAGACTCCTCACCCCTTCCACCATGTGAGGACACAGGAGAAGGGGCTGGCTGTGATCCAGGAAGAGGACCCTCACCAATATGAGATCATGCTGGCATCTTGATCTTGGACTTCCAGCCTCCAGGACTATGTGAAATAAATATCTGTTGTTTATAAGCTACCCAATCCATGGATTTTGTTATAGCAGTCAAATGGACTAAGACAGTGATCAAGTCACACTTTGCATTTTGAAAATGCTGTCTTTAAAACAGAAAATTTTGAAAATGCTTGCTCCTCAGAGTACATGTGTGCTCTACAGCTTGACACTTCTTTGCCCTTTCTGCACTTTTTGATATAGATATTCACAAAATGTAAAATAGCTGACATTATCACTAATATAAATATAAATCAACACTTTATAATATGAAAAGGCAGATATGTTTCTGGCCTTGGGTCTTATTTTCCCAACCAGAATCCTTCACACCAGGGTCTCGGAACAACTGCGGGACAAGCTCATGCTGTACACACTCTCTCTGCACTCCTGAGGTCAGTCTCTACACTCCTTTTGATGCTTCCTGTGATGTTGGTACTTTCAATAGCACTTGCATTACCTATGACACTGACAGGAGGCCTGATCTATATCTGGCTTCTCTGTTCATAAGCAGGTAAGAAATTAGATGAGGGAAAATCTTGGGACATAATAACCTGTAAACCAAAGCAAGAGATTTTCAGAGTCAGATGCTAATGAGTTCTGTTCTCTATGCTGTCCCATTAAAATAGATTCCTTAGCCTATTTTTCCCTTGTGAACCAAGTTTTCAGAAATAAACAGCTGGGACCCAAGGCATCTGCATAGCAGGACAAAGCTTTTATCTCTCTCATAGGAAGGACCTTCCAGACTTTGCCAGCACGGCAAGCTCTCTAGACTAGAGGAACACCTTTTCTTAATCATTTACTCACAGAAGTATCACTTTGATATTTTATGTTTACTTTTTTATCAAAGACCCCTCAAAATTACACTTACATTTTTAGATCTGGAAAAAGAATGTTGAAGTGATTGCTATTTTATGTTAGGGTACCAACGTCATACTGCAGTTGGCAAAGATAAAAATTAGAAACAGTCTCTAGAACCCCACATTCTGGCCAGTGTGGGCCAACAGCATTAGCTTATGCCCCTCCAGGTCTGTACCTTCAGTGAAAACCAAATACCAGAACTAGGAATTGGTCTCCTAGGAGCCTCTGAAAGGCAAAATCTGTACTTTTCAGGGACCTCCTGACTTGGGCCATTCACATCCAAACTGGGACATATGCAACATTGCTTCAGAGGTGAAGGCAAACCTCACCAATGCATCCAGGAGTCGACCTCTAAATCTGAGAGAGGAAATGGATCAGAAATCACTAGCACGTGCCACAACTAGAAGGACCCACAACTAAAATATACAACTATGTACTGGGGGGATTTGGGGATAAAAAAGAAAAAAAAGAAAAAGAAATCACTAGCATATAAAGAGATTAGATTCTCGTTGGTAGAGACTCTTACAATTGCTGTAGTGCCATCTTCAAACCAGAATGAAGCCAAAAGTGAGATTATATCCAGGGTTAGGATTCTCCATGTATACCTCAGAGGGAATCTTGAGCCCAAATAACAAGTGAGCATGGATTGGTCTCAGTGTAAGTTGCTTTGGGCCAATAGAATATATCCTACCATTATCGAGCTAACTACATGCATTTGAAAACTTTAAGTTGAACCACACTATAAGGAAAATAAGACTGTATCTATAAACTACCTACTTGAAAAATAGTCATTTTACCTGCTCTAAATTTACCTTTTTACTAGAATACCAGTGATTACTAATGCACTAGATACGATGAGCTACTCTATGTTAAATCTACCCACAACTTACTTTCCCTGGAATACTTTTATTTTCTAGAATACTGGTTTTATAACTAGGTCTGTGACCTGCTGAAAGTCCTGTTGCTTCCTGAAGTAGAAGAGAATGGTAATAATATAATACATTTGACTCAACTACGTACTTTTGTGCTAAATCACCAGCATGTAAACCATCTGTAAATCCCTTTCAACACCACCTTCCATATATACCCAGCATCCAATACTGCCACCTCCTGTGCTACCAGCCTCTTGCCTGTGGTACTCTAATAGCTTCCTGGCTGGTCTCTGTTTCCACTTTTGCCATCCTCCCTCTTCAATTCTCAACACAGCAACAAGATTAGTTCTTTTAAAACTTAAACCAGATTACAATACTCTTATGTTCAAATGCTCCAGTGATTCCTATTTTCACTTAGAGTTTAAGCCAAAGAGTTTACAACTAAATGCCTGTGCGAATCTATGCAATCTGGCGTCTGACCTCATTTCCACTTCTCTCCCTCTTACTTTTCTGCTCTAGCCACACAGTCTCCTTGCTGTTTTAAATATTCTCGTCTTAGACACTTGGCCCTCACAGTTCCCTTGCCTAGAATGTTCTTCCCTCAGACAGCTGCATGACTAAGTGCCTAAACTCCTTCAAATTTTGCCTAAGTGTCACCTTTTTTATGAAACATACCGACCCTCCTATTTGTCACCATTTCTTATGCCTATTAACTTTTTCTGTCTTTTTTCTGTAAATGCTTTCAAATTCTAACCTATTGTGTAATTAGCTTTTGATTTTGATTTATTGTTTATGATCTGCCTTCACCTACTGTAATGTAAGAGACAAGAAGGCAGAAATTGCCATCTCTTTTCTGACAAATTTCAAGCATTCAGAACAATGTCTCACACATATTAAGCATTCAAATAATCATTTGCTAAATGAAATAATGACATCAGATACTACATTATCTACAGATATAAGAACAGATACCATAAGAAATGTTTTGATTTATAACTTCAAAAATTGAGAAATTTCTCACCATTGTGTGTGTCTTTATGTGCATGTGAGATACATATTGCTGTGGACTGAATTGTGTCTCCCCTAAATTCATATGTTGCAGTCATTGTGACTGTATTTGGAGAAATGACTTTAGATGATGTTAAGGTTAAGTGAGGTTATGGGGCTGGAGCCCTAATATAATAGGATCGGTGGCCTTACAAGAGGAAGAAGAGAGAAAGCTATCTCTCTTCACCATATGAGGACACATCTTCAAGCCGGGAAAAGAGCTCTCACCAGAAACCAAACCCTGCTAGACCTTGATCCTGAACAATCCAGCTTCTAGAACTGTGAGAAAATGATTTTCTGTTGTGTAAGCCACACAGACTGTGGCATCTCGCTATGGCAGCCTGAGCTAATTCATACATATATGCTTAGTGTGTGTGCTTACAGATTTTGAGACATTGTCATCAACTGATCTTAATTTGGTAGCATTTTTGGCCCAGTATTCAGATGTTTTCTAAGAGCATCGCTTGAGGACTTTTTTGAGATAGTAGAGTGTACCAATGTTAGCCTATCAGAAGATCATTTTAGTTAGGCTATTTTTGAGTCTGGAAAATTCATTATACTACCCAATAGAAACTTATAAAATCCCCAAAGAAACTCATACAAATGAAAATATACACATTAGAAAGAATAGAATTGTTGCCTTGAGGAAAGGAGGGATGGAGGATATCGTGCTAAAAGGGGACAGATGTATAAAATAAGAAAGGTATCTGCACAGACTAATAATAGTAATATGCCAGGAAAAATAGTGTTATCTCAATCCTCTTCACTTGAGGTTAAGCAGTGCATTCGCATTCAACATTTTATTAAACATAAAAGCTTTCAATCATTTTAATAAAATTTTAAGGACTTTATGTTGGGAAAAGCAGTCATCGTGAGCAATACTTGTGAGACTGGCTTAATTAGTACTGCATTTCTTCACTTCAGGTAATACTGTGTCATTATGCTTTCTTATCCACTGAGAGGGTAGGAACATCCTTACAGCACTTGACTCTTCTCTGGACCCACTCACCATTGCAACTTTGCAACTTTTATTCTGGTTGGTAACTGTGATGCCAAATATGGAGGGAGGAAGAAATGAAGGGAAAACATTTAATTGCTGTTTTTCATCTTACAAAGATGCATGCCCTCTCCCTCTCCCCTTCTTCTGCCTCCCATGCTAAACATCGTAACCATGAGCAAAGGGAAAAAGAAAGGCAAGTCCTGTTTTTATTTTTTCTTCTCTTAACCCCTTTAACCCCTTACACCCATCTTGTTCTCTACTCCAAACCTACATCATTTTTTTTTCTTCTTCTTCTTCTCCCTAAAGCCCCCCAGCACATAGTTGTACATTCTAGTTGCAGGTCCTTCTGGTTCAAATATATGGGACGCCGCCTCTGCATGGCCTGATGAGCAGTTCTAGGTCCGCACCCAGGATCTGAACCAGTGAAACTATGGGCTGCCGAGGCAGAGCACAGGAACTTAACCACTTTGCCACTGGGCCGGCCCTCTAAGCACCATTGTTTAAAGGGTTAATGAGGACAAGCGTATAAACAGTGTAAAGTGTAAGAAGAGGAACAAAGAGCAGAGTAGAGTAGGATTCTGATTACCTCCAGCCTCTGCTTGCCAAGTGACTAACATCGTATTTTCTCCTTGACCCCTGTATTAGGTAGTTAATGCAGGGGTTGTAATGAGTCAAAAATCCCAGTGGCTTAATACAATAAAAGTTTATTTCTCAGCCACATAAGGTTAATTTCAGATGCTCTAGGTTGAGGAACTCATGGCTCTACTCCAAGGAGTGATTCAGGAATCCAGACTCCTTCCAACTTGTGATGTCACCATCTTTGACATGTGGGCTCCAATTACTCAAGGGAAGGTGAAAGAGTGTAAGGGTGGTGTACTGTGACCCACGGCACTTAACTTTACATTCTATTGTCCATAGCTGGTCTCACACGGGTGTAAAGACACAGAAGCTGCCCATCAACAACTCCATAGGTCCACAAGCGTTAGATATCATCCCACTGGTCATCTATCTCTGCCACACACCCCATCAGTGATTAGCAGTTCTCTTTATTTCAAGTGCCTGTCTATTTGTTGACTGTTTATTTGTTCCCAGTCTCTTTCCTCAATCTACAATTTATACATAAGCTAACAGCTCCAAATGAAACAGTCCGTGATCTTGAATGTTTGCATTGCATTGAAGAGATATATGTGTAGGTTTCAGTTTAGGCTCTGAACATACTTCTTCAAAGAATTATTGGTGAGTAAAATTGTTTGGTCTTGTGTCTTTATGAGGACAATAAAATACATCAGGGACCTTATTGACCAAATAGGATTTTCTGGAGAGGAATTAGAGCTAAATAACCTCACGTAACGATAATTATACAGAAAAATGCTTTCAGTGAAAAGTTATAATTAATGTTAACCAGAGTATATAAATTGATTCCTGCACAAAATAATATTTTTTGTAGGAGGATTTAAGTGGAATTATGTAGGGTCATTATTTTTTTTATTACAGAAGAAAAGCGACAGCTGTGAGAACAGAACTGCTGCAGATACACACGTTCTTTCATAAGGTAATTTTTTAAGGTAATTTTTTATTTGTTTTCTTTTTATTTCCCTTTGGAAGAACAGACATTAGATTTTTTTCCTCATAGACACAGACTTTAGTATTTTATCTTGATAATCCCAGGCCTTGGCAAAGGGTTTGGCATATCTTTGGAGCCCAAATGCTTGCTAATTTGAGTTCCAGGGTTGGAAGAAGGATTTTTCTTTCTTTCTGTCATGAGGAAAACAGCTAAGAGCTGCCAGAGAAAGGTCATTGATTTTCTTGGATATAATAGAGAGGAGCACTCTGGATCCATTTCTCTGATGAGGTGTACAAAACTAACAGGGGAAACTGACTCCGTAGTCAGTAAAATGACTGTAGAGATTATTTTAAAGGGGATTCCCTACAGAAGCGAACATAAATTTTTTGTTGTTGTAGCAATGTAGAAAGGTACCAAATTCATGTCATAAATAATAATTGAGAATTCATTAGCAGAAAAATCTATGAGCTATACAACTTCCCTTTTTTTTTTTAATGTATTGTGGCTTTGGTATTTTTATATTTATTTCCTCTGATTTTATCTTATTAATTTACTGATAATTGTGTAAATTATTTTTTGTTCTTTTTATAGGAAATATTTGATTTCATATTTCTGCTTTTTAAATAAATTCTATTTCATCAGTATCCTAGACTTACTTCTATTATATTGCTCATTATTTAGAGCTTATTTTGTGCCAAGTATTGGAGACTGAAAGGAAAAAGTACGATTCCTCAGTGAAAGAGGGAAACAAAAAAATAATACAATATGATAAGAGCTTGAATATAGTACAATAGTGGCATATAAGAGCTAGATTCAACGTGGCTGGAAGAGGGAAGTAATGTTTGAAAGTAGGGAGGAAGATGTTGCAAATGGAGGAAAACATGTGGAAAGACATTATGTCATAACTTAGTTAAACATTGTACATAGTTCCTTTTTCGTTGTTCGTTCACTATTTGTTATCCTTAACCAACTGAACTCATTGGGGGTCCACTGTAGGACTTATTAATTTATGAAATCCTAGTGCATCAAAGTATCTGGGTTGACTCATATTCGTTTCTCAGTAAATGATTATGGAGCTCTTGAACTGGCAAAAAGAAACCGCCTGATCCATGCTGAGGTGCCCCACGATCTTCTGGTGGATGCTCCCAGAACTGTGGGGCATTGTGCTAACAAGTGTGATAGAGAAGTGACATTTTTTCCCCCTCAATTTACGGTTATTGAGGACTTAACTATGAACCTTGTTAAATGGTTTCTATATATAATATCATTTAAACTTAAAATCTATGTTACGAGGTAGGTTCTATTGCTCTCTCACTTTTACAGATAAAAAAATTGAAACTGAAAGCAATTAAACAAACTGTCAGGGACATGCACACCAAATCTGGGCATAGAAAAAACAGTTCGGACACCAGACACTTATCTCTTAACTATAACATTTCTGACTCTACTTTTTTCTCTTTCTAAAATCATTTTTCATCATGGTCATGTATTTGTTAGACTTTTATTGTGCCATATGTACTTATTCTCTCAATTTGATCCAATAATTAGTTCTATACTAGCAAGCATGGCACAGCTTATGACTCAAACTTATTATATGGCCTCAAATATGTGCTCAGTTGTTACATAAACTAAAATAAATATTATTATAACTTGTGAGCTGTTTTTACATGCATTATCCTCAGTATTATGTGCAAGAAATATGCATAGTAGTTAATATTATACCTACGTCATAACTGAGGAAATTGTAGAAAACTAGTTGTGACTTTCTCAATGGTAAAGTAAGAAAATAATATAAAGTAGCTTCAGGAGAAAATGAAATAAAATCTATCATTTTTGGTGATGTTTATTTTATAATGGGACCACTGGGTAAGAATACATCAAGAAATTGGAAAGAGTTCAGAACCAGCAATTACAGAGCTACCCAGAGTGTGTGTGCATATATATGTATACACACACACATGCTTGCATTTCACTAAAATTTTGATTAAAATTTGCTTAAGGTTTAAGGTCTTCTCTCCTTTGGACTTGGTTTTTTTTTTTTTTTCATGTTTATTCACATTTGGGAAAATATTCTCACCTTCTGTAATGCACATAATTAGAGTTTCTAGCACTTACTGAGTCCGTTGCTCTCTGAGAAGCCCATTTCAGATCCTCAAATCTGATAGTTCCAGGATTAGATCAGATGTGCTTCCCAAGAACATTCAGTCACCAGGGAGTAAAGGTCATGGAGTACAAATATTGCTACTGAGGAAACACCCTCTGTATGGAAGGAGAAGTTCCCAGAAAAATAGAACCCCGTCATAGAATCAGTTTCTGTGGCATTTTATCCCTTGACTGCTCAGTGCACACGTTTTTTCCTCCAAATATGCAATTTTGATGATAAAAAATTCTATCAAAATATAACAATTTTCAGTATAATGTCAAAACCACCCTCTCCATTTTTGTGAGGCAGCTCAAAATCTGATCAAGCCATTGAATTCACAAGCCATGATATAAAGCTACTCTTCTCTAAGTCCACGACGTTAAGGTGACTTCCATATCTCCATTAGTGTATTCTCACTTTTTTACAGGTATGACATTTTTATTCTGCAGAATATGGACACTTTAATAATCCTAATATAATCCTTAAAAATATTAAAATGTAGCTTCCATTTAAAATCAAGAATGTACTGAGAAATAATTTCACATTGTAGAGTGGTCAATGATCTAACCTGTGTAATACTTCCTGTTTTAGATGAAAAATAATGTGTATGATATCACCAAGTTTCAAGGCCATCTATTTGACTCCCTTGGACTGTCATTCTGGCTGCCATAATATAGCTTCCTTTTCGATGAGCTCCATGGCTCAGGGTTTTTTAAATCCATCTGCGAGAAAGTAACTGGGGATACGTTCTGTGTGTGAGTGTGTATGTGTGTGTGTGTGTGTGTGTATGGTGTGATGTGGTTAATCTTTATCTTGCTTTGAATCATCTATCAGAATGCTCTGAGTTTAGTTGTTTTTGACAGTGGTTTGTTTTATGTTTCATTCCCTTTTTTCTTTTGTTTAGCTGTTTTCCTCATTTAACGCTAACTAAAATTGTGATGAATTACAAAGCAATTTTTTTTGGAGGTAGGGAATAATTTGCTAAAAGCCAATAAAATTTCAATCACATGTATACACTAACTACTCTTCAGCTACTCAATTTCTAACTTGCTAGAAAACAAAATCCAATTGGCCTAAAGGTCAGATACCCATCCTTTTTTCCATCAGCTATCATAAGGAAGGCAGGTCAGGTATCAGCACTGTGGTTGCTGGGACCTACCATGGCGAACACGTTGGTTGCTTTCCATGAAGAATGGATGGGCAGAAATTTCAGTATATAAATCCACTCAAAGTTTCAATGTTCTATCCACAAAACCTGTATAACTATTGATTAAATGTGCAAGTGAAAGATGTAACTTTGCATTTCCTAGGAAGAATTTAGCAAGAAAACTGCAACACTTTATTTGATCTTACCATTTTCCACTTTTTTCCTCCAAACAAGAAAAATCATTGGGAAGTTACTGAGCACTCTGAAATGTTCCCTATAGTCTAAAAGGGACTTTCAATATTCTTTGTAGAATCGAAGTACAAATGGAGGAAACAAATTGATGGAATGCTGACAATAGGACTGAATTAGAAAGAAATCATGGCTATTTGGGGACAACATAGAAGAAAACGTGTAATAGAAGATTCTGAGAAAACTATCAATGTGATGTATTTCGAGTCCTTAGGACTTTTAAAGTTCAATCCTTGAAGTAAGCTAAACTATTTATCTTCTTTCTTATTCTTTTATCTGTCATCTCCTTTCATCTATATTTTTTCTCTTGTCAAAAATAAGTGCTTTGTTTATTGAAGATATAGAGTTTAAACTACCTGAACCCAAAGTGTCCATTGTGGAAAGCTTTATGTCTGACAGCTATATTTTAGCCAATGAAAGAACAATAAAATGATGTCTTTGCTCCCCATTTTTGCTTCTTGAAAGCCATGCACAATACAGCTTGAGCAATAACCCAGCAAACTTGGCCATCAGTCTGTGCAGTTACTCTGTGCCACCTTCACTATCCTTTGGCTGTCTTTCCATGTACACATCAGGAAAATAATATTAATTATAGGTAGTCTCCTACTTAATAAATTATGGTTCAATGATGTAACGAAATTGTACAGGACTAGTGAAAACAATAAAAGAGTTCTATAGATACTAACAAGAAAAAAATATCCAAGATATATTGCCCAATGAGAAACAATATAATATGTTGTAATTTTTGTACACATACATTTGTAGTCATTTTTACATATTGAAATATATAGAATTATACATCATATTTAAACACTGTATATCTCTGGATGGTAAAATGACAAGATACTTTTATAAACCTGTGTTATATGTGATTGTCTCCCTGTATTTATGTGTAAATGAAGGTTTATATTGTTGTAGTTCTTTTACTATGAGTGGGTTATACTTTTTGAATCATTAAATAATTTTTAAAAACCGAATTGGTTATAGTTTTTGCAAAAGCTGTGCAATCTTTTCTACAAAATATATTGATATAGAGTGATATTGTTATATATTTGACACTGAAAAATACAAACAAATAAAACAGATTTTTTTAATGATTTGAAATTTCATTATATTCATATACTCCCGGTTATAGTATTATAGAATCACATATAGGACAGTGTGAATGAAATTCTTAAAAACATAGCTACATAATTAATTTAGCACCATATGCTGAATTGCAATATAAAATGTTTCAAAGGATATTATGAATAAAATACAACTGTAAGAGTGTAAAATAATCATAAAAATCATCTTTATGTGAATTTAGCTTGGTTAATATTTTGATTCATCCTTCCAGAATAATAAACACTTTAGGCTGTCTATTTAGCTATTTCTCATTTTCCTTAGTGAGAACGCTAGAACTTCACCTATTACCCTGTTATTTGGGAATATAGACTATGTCATTTGGAATAACATGGGTGATTTATCTAGTCTGGCATTCTCTGTTCTAAAAATAAATTTTGAAGATCATTCTTCCCTCTGTGCTTATGAAGACAACATGATTTAGAATTTACAAAAAAGGGTAGAGATTTATCTTAGGCAAGAGTATGCCAATTGCATGTGACATTTATACTCTCAAGCCAGATGGCAGTGGGATGGAATTTGGGTTTTTCTTTTTCCTTTATATATTATTCAGAAGCTAATTCAGTGTACAAATGATAAAACTAACAGCAAACCTGAGTAATTCCGTTGTGTAATCAGACAGCATTTTCAATCAAAGGAAAAGTTTCTAGTCAATATCATTAGTACATTATATTTTCTTTAATGTTTTTAATAGTGTTAACAAGAAGAACTTGAAAATAAGTATATAATGCTCACTAAGAAATTTCCCATAAGCTGTTATGTAAAATTAATATTGTTTTTCTGAGGAGCTTTGAATCTGCTGATCAGTTCCCTACCTTTCTCCCCTTTCCTGAAGGAAAATAGGCTTTTACTTCTGGGTGTTTCAAAGTCTTTCAGCAGTGAGGGGGCTGGCTGTAGAGACAGGCCTGACCTGGTGTTAATATCATTAGGAACTGAGAGACGCAGACACAATAAGGAATGTTACATCCTTAAAACTGAAACTGGCCCAGAATACATTAAAACCAGGGTGAGAAAACAAGACCATCAGCACAACTTTCCTGAGAAATGTATACTTTTGCCATAATTGTTTAGAGAACTCAAATGACTGGTTACTGTAAAATATCTACTCAGCAAAAAAATACCACTCCAGGTTCTTCTTTTAAAATATGCACTTTAGTAATAACATAATATTTTAGAATAGTGACAAATACCTAGTTTAACAAATATAGTTATATAGAATATAACAAATACCTAATAGTAACAAATATAGTTTTTACTATTGCCAGGCATATATTCACTTTTTCAATCTTTAGTAGTTCTATGAAACAAATGGTGGAATTATCTTTCCGTTTTAAAGGAAAGGAGGTTTAAAAAGCTTACTCAGGGACAAATGTCTAGTCAGTTGGAGAAGTAGATTTGAACTCAAGCATTCTGGATCCAGAACCTATACTCTTACTAGTTATGTCTTCTGGCCTTTCAATGAAGAAAGAGTATTCCTTTAAGGAAAATACATTTTCAGAGGTAGAAGTCATTATTATCAATCACGGGCTTTTGGGGGAACTAGAGGTCACTTGAGAGCTACTAGAAGCCTAGTGAAAAAAGCATTAGCTTGTTTAGACTAGATCGGGCTCTGACAATGCTAACCTGTAGCACTGAGTCTATTGTCATATCTGGAATGACAGCCACTTAAAGAGAATAACGTACATTCTAGAAAATTAGAAAGATACATTGGGGAAGAAGAAATAAGAGATAAATGATGGTGAGTACAATCTAATTTACTATATGAGGAGAGATTCTCTGAAGTAGAGAACTTTCCTGTGATTCTCTGCCTATAGACAGCTTAGCATTTTAGGTTGGATACTTGGTAGAGGTCTTATTTCTTTGAGGATGTAAGTCAAATATTGCTATATTATGGAAAAACATATTCCATTCAAGTTCCTTTTAAGAGGCACGTAAAGGTTTGGATATTGTGCTTCTTTACCTGATTGAATTACATTTTGATCATTTACATGATAGGCCATGGTCAGACCAATGACACTATGTACTAGAGAAATTGGGAGGATGTGTCTGTGTTAAACCTAGAACTTTTCATGTTATGGGAAGTATACTTCTGCCTCCCTCACTTCTTCACCCCACATAAAATGTCTATATCCTTTACCTCATCCTCCACACTCTGCTACCCCTGACCCTCCTAAATTCTGACTTTAATTTCATTCCTTACCAATAGCATCAGCCTCCCAAATTGAGTACCTGAGAATTTACCAAGTCAAATACTAGCTTCTTCTATGCCTTGGTACTCATTCCTATTGGAAAAGATTGAGGAAGGTATTTATTGATAAGAAAACTTGTTCAATTTCATTAAATGTCACATTATGTTATGTGAGCTTTTCCTACATAATTCATGAATTTGAATGCCTTTGAAATTCTAAAAGCTCCTAGGGCTGTAATAGACTATGCCTGTAATAGCCCTAGTTCCATAGGATATCATGTCTTAAATAACCTCTGGATTAGATGCTCTGAAGATTATGAACAAAATAGGGAATATTGTAGGATAAACATTAAAGATCGAATTTAATTTTAAATGTATTAAGATTGAGCTGTTTGTGAGACATCTGGGTAGATGGTGTCCCATAAGTACTTAGAGAAATGCAGTTAGAGTTCAGAAGAGAGAGAATGGCAAGAAAAAAAATGTCACAATCATCTGCCTAAAGATTTTTGTCTCAAGCTATAGGATTTACATGATTATCTAAAGCTCTCATTATGTATTTCTTTTTTTTTTTTGAGAGGCCGTTAAATAACACTCCTTTTCCCTGTCCAATTTATGAATAAATTGAGAAATAAAACCACAAATTCAGCAGACAAAACAACAAGAGATCATTTTTATGACTAGTAAAGCTAGATTGGAAGACACAGTTTGATTTAAGTGTCAAATGGGCCTGAGGTTTCTCTAATTATACCAAAGTTGCACAGAATACCGCATTCAAGGGAAATGTAGAGTCTGAAAAAAATACACTTCTACAATTTCTGTTGATTCAGTTAGAGGAAGAAGAAAAGAATGGGCTGAATTCTCTGTGCCTAGGTGTGTTCCCAATTAGCTCATTTCAGAAATGTGGATCAATTGCTGTTATCCCCTCTCCCAATATGACAGTTGACACCTTTTTGCAGTTGGAGAGATGGATGGGGCAATAACCAGGAGGAAACCAGAATCTTATGGTAGAAAGTATAGATTTTAGAGCTAGAAATCTCTGTAATGGGTCAGGAGAGATCCAGTCACTTAAATCCACTCCAAAATCACACGTTACTTAAGATTTTCCAAATTATTTGCTGTTCAATTGTCTAATATGGCCTGATATAAATTCTGCAATGAGATCAAGTGACATCATGAGATGTTTCAAAGTAAAAAGAAGAAGAAGAATGCCATTCATATAGTTATGTTATATATTAACACATTTTCTGAAGAAAAAACAAATGTGCAAAACCAAAACTGTCTACAGGTTACAGCTCAAAAATATTAAATGACAAATAGTAAGTCTGACATAAATTTATCTTGCATTTGTCTATCAAAAATCCAAAAACTTGAAATCATCCCAATTTCTTATACAGATTAGTTTCAGTTGAAGAGATTTTCAAAGCTCAGGTAGAGTTAGGAATCACTCAATAGTGTAGGGGAGGAAGAAATGTCCCTTTACCCTCTAGTTTCTCCTGGCTGTTCGAAGAATTAAATTGACATGAGACAGAATAAAAGGAGAAAATGAAAAAATTTATAACACATGTACATGAGAGAATCCCAGGAAAACTGAGTAACTTGCCAAAATGTCCGAAGCCACCACCTTAGATACCATCTTTGGCTAAAAACAAAGAAGTTTGTTGTGGGTAGTGGTTTGGGACTTCAAATGGGAGGAAGGCAATTCATGTGGAGATGGAAAGGGAAATGTTTGATAAATGTTTGCCATACCTTGCAAAGACAATGAGACCTGGGAAAAACTTTAATCAAATGGGCCTCACTAGGTTCCTCCCCATCTACCATACCTAATTTATTTCATATTATAGTTATCTATGATGAGAGCTCCTTCCAGGAACAGACCTTCTATCTTAAATTCTTTTAGGCAGTTAGGGGGAAGGTCAAAGTTTCTT